CGTTCTTTAAGGCACGCAACAAGTTTCTTAGCCGTTGAACTTGTGGCCTTAACTGCGACGACGACGACGACGACGACGATGACGACGTTCGTGCAGTTTTCAGCTACATTTGCTGCCCAAGTTAAGCAAACAACGCAGTGCAAGAGGCAGACGAGGAATGTTATCTGCCAGAAGAGCAAATATAGCATAGAGCAGACCGGATAGGTTCCCAGGTGCCCCAGCGATCCAGCCTTGCCGCTTAGGCAACCTGACGATTGCCACACGCTGCACGGCACAGGTTCGTCGAGACTCAGTTGCAGCGCTGACAGGGCGCATCTATATATGTATCTATGCAAGTGTTTATCTCTATCTCTATCTGTATCTGAATCCGTATCTGTATATACACAGTTTAGATGTGTGTATGTCTGTATATATCTGGCTGGTCTGGCTGCGACTTTGCTTGGTTTACATTTCGGGTTTTCGCTTCAAGTGAGAACAAAATGCTGTTTGGGGAAAATAAACAAAACAAACAGAAATGAAGAAGAAAAATTAAACGAAAAATGATTTCAACCAGCAAACTAAAGTGCCCACGCCCCACCGCTGCCCCCTCTTGCCGCTTGAGGCAAAAACTTGGCTGCAACAATCAAATGCTCATCAAGCGCACTTGAAATACAATAATGCGTCGAATGCTTAAGACAAAAGCGAACAAGAGAAAAAGAACAAGACTAAAAACCAAAACTAACAGACAATAACGCACAGTATCTGTATCTGTATCTTTTCATTCTTTTTTTGGGTGTGTATCTCATTTTTGTTGGTTAGTTGAAATTATTTGGCCGTAGCACGCAGCGTGTTTTTTCCTTAAGGTTTATTTTCGTTGGCTGGTTTGTTTAGTTTTGTGGCGGCACACAGACACACACACATATTCATATACACATGTATGTATGTATATACACTCTGGCAGAGCGACATGTTGCAGGTGGGAACAGGTTTTGTGCGCTGCTCAGATGCGGGCCATATCTTTTGGTCAGGCTGCGCGTAATTTATTCCCACTGTGGCTGCAATTACTTTTTTTTTTGTGGAACAGAATACAGCAGCAAGCAATAAAAAAGCTCACAAGTCGCAGCTTATATACTCTCTCTAAATATCGGCAAACATTTAACTGTTACTGCGCTGTTAATATGTCCATGCTATGGCTCTTCTTTGTTTGCATTTTTTCCTGTTAGGAATTTTTATGTGGCATGTGCTGGCTATAAGCGATTGGCAAGTGTATTTGATGGTATTCAATTTGCCAGGCATTGGCTAACACGTAGCAAATTAGCCTAACAGCCAAATGCCATGTGTGCGCAAAACTATAAGCTGCCCATGCACACCCACACACAGACACACACACACATCACAGACACACCCGCGCATACACACGGATGTATGAATCGTGTGTGTTTTTCACATATCAATTGTGCCAAGTTCCCAGTAAATGGCCATCCTTTGGCCAAGTGGATAGCGGTCATGTTCAAAGTGCAGCTGCCTCCATCAGCAAGCAACAACTCAAAGTGCAAACAACAGCGGCCGCAACAGTAGCAGCAGCAGCAGCAGCACCAGTGGCAGTATCATTCACTCATAGTCTAGTCACGTATGCAGCAGGCAGCGCCTGCTTACATGTTGCCGAGCAATATGGCCGATTGATAGAGGTAGCAAAAAAACAAAAAACCAGAAAACGAAAAAAAAAACGCAGCCAACGGTAACAGTTGCACGCCCCTCACTGAGTAGGCAGCCTTTGGCAAAAAGAAGCACCCCTGCCAGCGCCACGCACCGCTGCACAGCCCCCCTCGGTTTGAGGCAACTGCGGCTTAGTTCACATTTGCCCACAAATGGCAATGGCGATGGATGTCGCGCTGTAATGGCATTTTCTAATATGGCCACATTAATGAGCGGCGCTGAGCAACACTGGCAAAGGGGAGGGGGCAGAGCGCTCGTCGGCAAATGCCAATTGCAAAATTACCAACTACCAACACATGAATGTATGAGTGTGCGTGTACGTGTCTGTGTGTGTGCTACGTGCATGTAATTATGTGCTTCTCTTGTTCTGAGCGCTTCATACCTGAGCAATTAGCGCGCGCTGCCTTGGCATGCAGCAGAAACAGCAGCAGCAATAACAACAGCAGCAGCTGCCTTTACTCAGCAGCTGTCAGCTGTCAACTGTGAGTGGCGAGAGCGAGATGGAATGTGCGCTGTTGCAAATCGATCGCATTCGATCATCTGGCAACACTGCACATTGCGGTAATTCATGAAAAAACAGCAGGAAACAAATGACAACTGCAAAAAGCTGCAGTCAGCGTCGCCAGACACACGTAAACTTTTTTTTTCAACTTTTTTATTTCTCAAAATTTATTGCACAGGCGCAAATTTCCAGCGAATAGCCAAAAATAAAAAATGCAAACATCACGAAAAAAGGAAATACATATAAAAACTAGAAACTGCTGCGCAAAGACAATTTAGTGCAGTTCGACAGGCAGGCAAAGCCGAGCAACTTGTTGCTACTGCTACAAATCTTAGAGACTTTGCTGCATTACACGGAGCTGTGTGCAACATAAATGGGCAAACACGTTGGCCGCAATTTAACACAAGGTCGCGAAAACAATGAGCCAAAGCAACTTTAGCCGCTTATCTGTAATTGTAGTAGCAGCTAATTGTGTGAACAGGCCACAGCCCCAGCTCTTACACCTCCTCCCACAACAGGAGAAAAGAAGTGGAAGAAGAAGCTGAAGCAGAAAGTAAACAAGGTGTTAATTTCGCGCTTTGCTTTTGCGCCTGGCAAATTGAATTTAATTTACAACAAAGCAAACGAAAGAAAAACGCAGTCCAGATAAGATTCCAGCACGGCCCATTGCCAGCCACACACACACGCACACGCTCACTCTCACGTACACCCACAAAAGCTCCACAGGCACGCGTACCAAGCAGCCGCAGCTGGGGGTGCAAGGCAGAAAGAGATGACACGAGATAAGCTGCCTTGTGATAAACGCACTTGACTTTGCCAGCGCGACTTGCTATGAATGGCAATTGAAATACGCATGTATACATACATGTGTTAGTATATAGGTACGTATGTGTGTTTATATGCATCATATACAGTGAAAGCTCTGCTAACGGACATCTCAAGCAGCAGACTGAGATATTTAACCGCAATTTTTCTCATTCTTTTACTCTTTTCTTGCCCAAAAAGTTTATTAAAAAATTTTAAAGGATTTTTCGTGGAAAAATCTTGAGGAAATGTGAGTTAAAAAGAAAATTTAAATCGCTATTATTATGAATGACATTCGTTCAAAAGAGCTTTAACTGTAGTATATGTATGTGTGTGTTTGCAAGTCTCTAAGTTAAAGCAATAATGTTAACTGTTCTCTTCTGTTGGAATACTTACGAACTGTGACCATTTTCGGATCGTAGGCACATACGCGCCGCTCCACGGCCGTTATTTTGCGCTGCACGCGTCCCGCCCGCTCGCCCACTGACTGCAAGTCCCGCTGCAGCTCCTCGAAGATGTCGCTGGCAATGAGCACCAGGCTGGCCAGCTGGCGCAGCGCATTGCTTAGGGTTATGTTGCTGATCGAGTCGAATTCATAGCCGGAGACGATCCTCGTCGCAGTCGGCGACTGCGGAGCGCTGGCGTTGCGTGCAGGCAGCGCCACTCGGTGCTGGCTTGGCTGCCGCGAATTGGGCAGCGACTGCGAGGCACGCGACCGTGTTGGCGATGTGGGCGTTGTGGGCGTGGTCGAGGGTAAGAATTCGACATGCTGCTTCAGTTTCTTCATGGGCAGAGCGGCCGGCGGACGCGGCTCAGCGTCCGAGTCGACGCCATTGGGCAGCCCGTGAATCAGCGCTCGGGTTAGACTGGGCGAAGTGGGCGCGCCGGCGTCCGTCTCATCGGGCGACTGCTTATTGATGCAATTGTTGTTTTTGCACTTGCCCGGCAAACAGTGGAATCGCGTGGAGGCATGCCCCAGGCTGGCGGCGGTCGCTTGTGCCACATTCACCGGCTGCACAGTGCGCTGTACAAAGGGCATATCGCTAGCTGATCCACCCGTTCCTCATTCAGCTCGGTGCGTCTCCAAAGGCCAATAAAAAAACAAAACAAAAGGCAAGAACGCGCAACGGGCTCAAAAAATCTCACAGCCGAAACTGGTCAAACAACTTCTGGAATTGGAATCCTCTGTAATGACGACGACGTCGACAGCGGCGGCTCCTTCCAACGTTCGGCGTTGTCTTTGGCTCTGCCTTCGCCTTCGCCTATTGTTGTCTGTTTTGTGCTCTGCCGCGATGCTGCGCCAATATAAATTCCTTTGCTTTTGGCCGTTTGCTCCAGACGCTCACACGCACACACACACTCGCACGCATAAACTAGTTGGCCACCTTAGAGCGAGACTTTTGGCCGGGTTTTTAATTGAATGTAAGCCGAAACTACACTCACACACACATTCGCACACACACACGCCGGCGTTTTGGGCGGTAGTTATTTATGCACTCTGAACTGGTTTATGCTTTGCACTTCGTACGTACACGCCGAACACGATTTGGTAATAATTACGATTTTATTGCTTCTTATGTTTCTCTGGCAAGCGCTCTTCTTTTCTTTTCTTTTATTTTATTGCCGTTACGCGTGTTTGCCGCTCATTCACAGTCGACACATCATTCAAAAAGGTGCGCACAACAACAACATCAACTACTGCGACAGCGCCTACGTCCGCGCATACGTCCTGCTCGTTTGCCGGTCTTAAAAAAACTGTTACCAACAAATGTTAATGTTAATATCGGCAACAAACTGTTAACCTCAAAAGAGGCGGTTATGCATCGATAGAAATATCGATGATAATTTTACTTATATGTGCACACTTTACCACACTGTTTTTATACCGATTATCCAACACTTAAAAACGAGCAGTGTTAGTATTTTTGTTATGATTGATTATTTTTATATTTTTAGACTACGGTCAGTCTGTCAATAATATTTTGTTGTGCGTCTTCATTTTCTTTTCTGATCAAACGTTTTGTAAGTTTATTCAAAGTCAGTTACAAATTAACGAACTGGAAATTGTTGTTTACCAACATGCCCAAGTATTACTGCGATTATTGCGATACATATTTGACACACGATTCACCGTCCGTTCGCAAAACCCATTGCACGGGCCGCAAGCATCGTGATAATGTGAAGTTTTACTACCAAAAATGGATGGAGGAGCAGGCACAGCATCTGATCGATGCCACCACTGCTGCATTTAAGGCGGGCAAGATTACAAACAACCCATTCGCTGGACCTGCGCCTGGCAACAAACCGGCAGGCGTTTCCATACCGCCACCCAACATGGGAGCTCCACCGCGTCCAGGCATGCCCAACATGCCGCCGTATATGCCACCCATGATGAATCCACTGATGGCACCCACAGGAATACGTCCACCGCCCATTCTCAATCCGATGGCCATGATGGGGCCGCCTCCACCGTTGGGAACGCTGCCTCCACAAATGATGAACGGACCAAAATAATATAGAGCATGAAATAGTGGATTTAAGTCAATAAATAGTTAAGACCAGTTACAAATACATAAACCATTTGTAAAAATTAAGTTAAAGAAAATAACTTGTGTTTTAATCCAACTTCTCGCATAAATGTGTTTAAATGTATTTATATATTCAAAAAGGCCTAAAAAATACCGGGAACGCTCAAGAATGTACTAGATTTGTTCAATATTGGCAGATATGTATATAGATCTGCACTCTTCGCACACAGCGAGGGGCAGGCTACACGTTTCCATGAGTTTGAAAGCTGTCAGCTGTTGGCAATGCAGATTGGTAGGCGGCTAGCTTTCCAATTCCTCCCCCAAACAAAAAAGCTTGTTCAACTTGTTCGCATTTGCACTTCCAGCGTCTTTGCCGCGTCACAATAGTAATCTTACAAACGAACAATGGTGGTTGTTAGTGTTTCGTTAGAGTTGACGTCGGCAAGGGAGACGGGCGCAGCATTGGATGAGCTCATACAAAAATGTACAAACAAGTTTAGCTTTTTGGAAATAAGACACGAGTACACAACTACACACATTTGTATGCATATATGCTGTGTGTATGTGAATGCGAATGGCGAATGCGAATGTGAACGCGGTGTGCCGCAGTGTTATGCCAGTCTCAGCTTCAGTTGTACGTGAAGCGTGAACAACGTCGGAGCGCCCACGCGGCAAACACAAATTTGTAACAGATACGAAAAGTGTGTGTCAAGCTCTCGCATATGTGTTAGTGGTGTTTCTTGTTGAGCGACTGAGTGAGTGAGTGTATATGACTAAGAATAATAATACTGACCGTTGTGCTGTTTTAGCAGTCAAGCTAATTGTTTCATACTGTCTGTTACGTGGCTACAGTGCTGCCTTTAATTAACTAACTAGCAAAGGAGCTGGCACTCCACAGCCTGAATCAAATAAACACATATACTATGTATATATACATATAGTATATATATATATTTCTAAAGAATAAGCAGGAGCATTTCAGTTTCGAGTTGCCAATAACAGCACAGTTAAAAAACACATATAAAAATACAAAAAATTAAAAAAAAAAACAGAAGTTCGGAAAACAAAATTGTATGTGCCGTAAGGAGGGAAGCTAAGCAAAATCAATAATTGGCCGAGCCTGCGTGTGTTTGTCTGTGCGTGTGTAAGTCGTGTATGTGAGAGTGTGTCAACCTTGCACGCTGGACAACTGAAGCAAAGGCCATGCTGATTAAGCAATAAGTAGAAGAAGAAGCAGACTACAAAAACATAACAACTTCAGAAGACAATATGCAACAACAACAACAACAACCACCACCAACGCAGCAGCAGCAACATCAACATCAACATCAACAACAGCAACCAGCTGTCATAACCAATTCGAGCAGTGGCAACCACACGCCCATCAACTCAGGTGTCGGTGCGGGTGCTCTACCAGGTAGCAGCACACCCATACGCATAGGCAGTGCAAAGCATGCGGGCGGCGGGGATACACTGGTGCCGCCAGTGGCCAACGTCGCCTCCCATTCAGTGCCCGGCACACCGCAACAGCAGCCGCCGCAGTCGAGCAGCGTGCCCACGGCCACTGGGAGTCATCTGCAGCTGCAGACGGCCGGAATAATGTCCATGGCGGCCTCCAATCAGTCGCTGGGCGTCAGTGCCGGCATTGGCGCCAGTGCAGGCGGCAGCAGCATCAGCGGCATTAACATAACGCCACCAAACAGCGCCGGCCTGAGGCAGTCGTCAGGTGAGTCGTCTGGTGATGAGTTGGTGATCAGGATGCGTCCGTTCAGCCAGCTTAGCCTCAATTGATATTCAGTGTCGTCTCTCTTGTCATTTTGCGTTGCTTTTCTGTTGGCCTCTATTACAGGCTCACATTTTGCGCTCTCGTTTCGTGTTTCGTTGTTGTTCTCCTTTTTCGTTTCAATCATTGACACACACACATACACTCGTATTCTTATACATGCATATGCTAATCTATGTTTTGTTGCTGTCTCAATTTGCATACCCTGCACTCAATTAGTGAAGGCATATACAGGGAAGGCATATGTCTTTACCATGTTCAGTTGTATTATAATATACATAGTTAACTTATATACATAGCTATATTCATTACGTTATTTATGTATATAATTATATTATATTTATATACTATATTACTCTCTTCTGTTGTGCATATAATTTGAAATCTCCGAACAATCGAGTGAGGCTGTAGCATATATTTATCGATAATAATAAGCGTATAGCCAGACAGCTCTTAGATGCGCCCAGGGTATATTTAAGCCAGTGAACTTCGGCTTTGGCACTTTTGCGTGTTCTGTTTTGATTTTGTTGTTTCTCGCATTTCAATGGCAGTTCCCGCTACGCGACTAACATCGACTATCGCATCACGCTTTTAGCTTTGTCTGGGGCTTCAAGCGCTTCCGCTCTGTCCGTCAACTGGTCGAAGCTCGCGTGTGGGGGGAGATGTAGATAGAGAGAGTGAGAGCGAGAGGGAGAGGGAGAGGGAGAGAGATAGCTAAGTATGGTGAGGAGGTGAGGTGTTAATTGTTGATTGAGCTTAGTTTGTTGTTGCTATGACTATGCAGCAACCACAATTTGAATTGAGGACAAAAGGCAAACAAATCGGATTTTCCCCGTGTCGCTTTGCACTTGCACCTGTTCTTGTCATAATTTACGTGCAACATCTACATATATATGCTACAGCACACGCTCGTTAAAGGGACTTGATGACTTTTATATCCATACTCACACTGATCACAGCTGGGCTAATGGATATTAAGACTGAGATTGATTTGATAACAGCTTTTTGACGTACATTTATGTTATATTTATTATATGTGTATAAATGCAGTTTATGAGCGACAAGTGTATCTTTATGTCTGTGTATCTCTGTGTGCGTGTCAAGCAGCAGGTTGTCATAGCTGCTTATTGATTACCTCAGGGCTTTTGTCAGCTCCACTGCATCCGACCAAACCAATTGATATTACACTTAATTGCCAATTTGCTAACGAGCTCAAATTTCATTAGATAACTGTAGGTGTAAAAACATTGCAGTCTCGTATGGCAATCGAATACGATTGCATTTCAAAGGCTTTGCCAATTTAATATTCATTGTTTAGCATGATAAAAGCCCTACGTGTCTCAAGTCTAAACAAAGGAAGATTCATTATAATTAGATGTCATTTCAGCTTTGATATATAATATATATACACATAATTTAGCTTGTATCTGTGCATTATATCTTGATGTTTGCTTGTGCTTAAATTAGTAAACATACTTATATTTAGAGCTTGGCCTGGAGAGTATTAATAATTCGTTAAGCTGTACTTTTGTCGCTCTTGCGCTTCGAGTTCGTTATATGTTTTATTGTAAGTAATTGTCATAAAATTTTTAGTAGACATCTTTTATTGTTTTGATACTTAAACAAGCACAATGGGCATTGTGCAAAAACACACATACATACACAAGCAATTAGCTGACACGCGCAAACTTTTAGGCACTTTTTAGTGCCCCCTGGTTGGGGCAGAGTGGGGCCGAAGGCGCCGAAAGGGCCAACTGCAGGCCATGAATGCTGAGAAATGCAGCAGTTGGCACAATTATACAAATATATATATATATATATAATGTGGTATGTCTGCTTGTATATTTGCATTTAATGCCCTGCTCCACTCCCCACCGACTCAGGGGGCAAACGAGCAAAAACAAAAATCGATGCGTCGCTGCGTTTTGTGATGTGTCCATCCATTTTAGTTTCTTGTTTTTTATTTCAATTTACGTACATTTTTTCTCTATTTATTTCTCTTTTTTTTACATTTTGGCGTACGTAAGGGCCTATTTGGGACGGATGGGAGGAGGGCTGAGCTGGGCTGGGCTTGGTGTGTATTTCATAAGGCATGCTGCATTCTATTTTTGTTTCGCTTCCAAGCTTCGGTGGCAAAGGTCAGAAGTGAGATGTGCACCATGAACTTTAGCTCTAGTCTTTATTCCACTTCTCCGCCTGGCCACATCCGGTCCACTTTGGCTGTACCGGTTGATGAAATTCTCTTGTACATTTGCATAACCAACAAATTCGATCGTCATATCTAGCAGAGGGCTGAATAATTTATCTATTGAACGAATATGCATCACTTATCCAAATCAATGTGTGTCTGTGTGTGGACGAGTATCTCATTCGTTGAATATTTTATAGCATGCTTTTGGGCAAATTGCCGTGTAATAAATTAGAGAGTCGTGCTAAACTCGATGCACATATGCATATTGATTGCCAGCTCCACCTGGCATTCGCCGTTTGCATATCTAATGAATCGCCCTTCCATCCCTCTAGTAGAAACCACTTCCGCCGCCACTGTAAGAGCCGTGCTCCACTTACATATGCCATTGGCCAGCACTATAGTATATAATTGGATTATATGCAACCCCACATACACGTACACAATGGGGGCACATACGGGTGCTTGCTGTGACATCATATGCAACAGTCATCAACAAAGCAGCAATAGCGGCAACAGCAGCAGCAGCAGCAGCAACAGCAGCAACAACAAAAGTTGGCATAACCAAAAGTGCATTCGCATGTTGATGTCATTCATCATTTGCGGTCAGCTCTTTTTAATGCCATCGCCCATTGGTCAGCGCCAAATTAATAGCCATCGACAGTTGACCATTAGCCGCCACATGGCTCACAGAGTCGTTCGCTTAGCACTTTGAACTTTGGCTGGGCGCTCCTTTGGCAATATCTTGGCCAATATTAGCCGGGCGTGGCCAGGCCAGGCCAGGCGAGGCGAGCTTTGAAATTGCGTAATTGAAACGCCCGTAAATTCTCTATTGGAAATTAATCAATGCAATCTATCGACGCATCCTTTCGCCTGCTGGCGCTAGACTCGCCTTGTTTATTGAGGGCTGCCTGCTGTGCGCCATACCCGATGACAGCAAATTGATAGCGGCGCTTAATTAATTCACAGCGATTAATCGACACGTCTAATATGGTCTATCCCGCAGCTAGACAACGACCGAGATACATTGAGATAGGGTTGCGCATGAATTGCGCCAAGTTGACATGCATTCAGCTTGATTAAAGTTGGCTCTACTATGCATAATCACATCGATAGTTCTATTACAGCCAATTAATGTTTGAGATAAATATAAACATGATATCACATGAGTGCGAGGACTACTAATTTATTGAACTAGAGGTGCAATAAAGTAATCATAAATGTATAGCATCGATTATCATCGATCGCTGGGTCATTCATCGAACTCTCTTCAAAATATCCATTAAAATGTTGTCATTGTGCTACTTTTACCGTTATCATATTTGGGTTGATAGTAATTCACACTCTGAATATAAATATTTAGTTTTTATACTAGTTCTACTTTATTCATGTTTGTTTATAAATGTTTTACTTTTGAATATGTTCTTGGATGAGAAGTTCCATCAGTTCTTTATTTCGCTATGGCTTTCTGTTTTTGTCAGTGTCAAATTATACTTTCTAAAGTCGTCTCGATGTCGTAAATGTGTTTGTAAATGTATGTAGTAACACTATAGAACTATAGAACTACATTAGTGTATTGATATTATATGAATACTGACTAGTTATATTGCTCGCTTTCTCTATTTCTTTCTCTCTTTTAACATATTTCATTCTATGTATGGGGCTAACTGCTCACATTACTGCAGTATTCGATTTTAAATTCAAGCGTCGACCCTCGCAAAAAGTGCTTTTAACCAAACTGCCCTCCACAGACAGTTTGAGCAACAGCCCAGCGCCATCATCGCCAGGTGAAGTTTTTTCCACAAATTTAGCACAGTTCACCGATCTATCATCAAATCAATTCTACAAGCTATTTCACTGATCATTGCACCGACTAACAAAATATCTCATTCATCAATCTACAGTTCATTCCTTTATTACTCCTACTTGAGATCATTTCAATTAAGCTACAAAGTTTAAATTTATCAATCATCTTTCCAATTGATCATCTAGCATGCATTCCATTGGTCGTTATATTCAATTGTTCATTCCATTCAATCAACTCACCTATGATTTTACAATCATGTCGCCGATCATTTCATTGATAATTCCTCTGATCATTTATAGATCATTTCACTAAGTTCATTCTCCAATGATTTCATCGATCTTTTCATTGATTATTCCGCATCTCATTCTACATTTGTTTTATACGACGAACATTTCACAGAGTCTAAATTAAGATTATTCCACTGATCGTTCCATTGATCATTCCATGTCTCATACTACATACAAAGCTATTCCCTGATTATTCCAGCAGTCATTTTATTGATCATAAAACAAATATTCACGAATTCCACGGACCATCTGTGGCACACATATTTTGCACATAGATTTTGCTTTTGCTTTAGCTTTTGCTTTCGCTAATCGAGATCATCAACGCGTTCGGCCTCCATGCAGTTGGCCAACGAACGCATTTGTATGCATTTCGCGAACATTTAGTTAAGTACTCACTTAGCCATGACCGTCGCGTCAAGCGTTGCCATATCTGTGACGCATTTGGCTGCCATTTGTATGATTTTGCTTTCGTTCCCATCTATTGTGTGCCACAGCGCACGGTGCATTATCAAAAGCTTTTCAGTTATTATTGGACGAGTATTGTATTGTATACATGTTTTGCAGTTGTGTTTGTTATATTATGACTTGAAATTGAAGGCAGCGAGCCCCGCACCGCCCCCCGCTTTGCTGGATAAAAGATTGCCCACGTCTAGCTGTGGCAGTGCCGCTGCTGGCTGTCAATCTGACATATCATATCTTATCTTCGGTATTTGTAGTTATATTTAGTTGGTATAGAACTTAAAAGTGTTCGCACTCTCGATAAGCCCTAATTAATGAGCAAAAACATAGCGTTGGCACTTTATTGAAATAGCCCGCTCGTACAACATTTGATTGCAAAACTTAACGATAACATTTGGTGGTCCGATAAGCGACTTTTGCTTTCATTAACTTTTTTTTATATTTCTGATACTCTCTTCGAACAGTCTGAATCATTGAGCTGTCAACAACACTGAAATATGACAAATGAGTTTTGCGAACATTCGACTGACTTACTAATTGCTGCTATCTACAGGTGAAATAATACAACTAACACCAAATTTGCAGTCCGAAGTTTCGATTTCAAAGCACATCTGGCCGGCAGCTTGATGAATTTGTTTATTGTTTTATTTGCAATTTAGCAAACATATGAAACGAATTATGACATGGTTTAGCACATTTGTTCAGCGCCTGATTCAACAATTTAAAGATATTTTAGAGATGGGAAGCAGCTTCATAAAATATATTTCTTATAAGCTATTAATGCACTTATATCGGTAGGATCTACATTAAACTATTCATTTTTGATGATATTGGAAAATAAGTTTATTTTATGTATACCTTTTTTTATTTATATTATTTTACTAGATGTTTTTTTTTTTTTTTTTTTTTTTTTTAATATTATTGATTGTTAAAAAAAAACAGGCTTTAAAAAATGAAATGGCCTAACTAGAAATACGTTTTGCTAGTTTCTAGGAAAACTGTGAAATATAACTAATTTTGGTTAATGAAAAATTATTATATTTGCTTTTTGGCTCAAAGCGTACAGAGTATTTGATTTCCGGGTGCCACATAATTTTCACTACAAATTTTACTCGCTTCGGTTTGCTGTGTTGCATGGGCACCTGAAAAAACAAAATCAGCTCTAGCTCATAGCAAAACATGTGTGATTATTTCCGGGATGGACTTAAAACTCAGTTTGTGTCATCTTGATAAAACCAAAGATTTGTTAGATATATTTCGTCATATTTAATAATAGCATACTATAGATTATAATAGCATATTATAGATTATATTAAGTGATGAGCCCTGTAAAATAATGAAATAGATATAAATAATTAGCGTACTTTTCAATTTGTAAATTTGATTGTTCATTAAATGTTTGTAGGGCATTTCGTTTTCATTTCCCTTCTCATTTCCATTTGTTCATTAGCGAACGACTACTGTATTTGCATTTGTACATTGAGAAAGATCATGTCAGCGAACAGATGTAGTTTAAAGTTTGTGTGCACTTAGAAATATGGAACTGTTTGATCTGAAGACTATAAATATTTTAAGGCACACTTAAGTGGTAAGCCTTAGGTAATACGGCGTCTGGGATCACGTCTCATGAGCTCATTGTAAACACTTGTGTGTAGCACACACGCACACACAAACAGACACACATACGCAGAGGCAGCATGTACGCGTGTGTGTGTGTGTACATATGCACATAAGTAACTTAGTAGTTAATAAGTTCATCGATAACGCCCCAAATGTTTGGCACATGGAGAGTGACAATGAACAACAGATAGAGAGAGAGAGAGAGACGGAGAGGGAGAGAGAGCAGCAGCGAGTGTGACTAGGCTAGATGGCAGCGACGCGTCGACGCTGACGCAGATGCCGACTGCGCACTGATATCATATCTGCGAGTTGTCTAAATTAACACACGAGTACTTAATATCGGGCGTTCGCGGCAGCTCGCCAGAGACGCGCCTCTCAACTGCTTTTCGAAATATTCAAAATATTTATAAAAAAAAAACAAATTGTTTTGATTTTTGTTTTGTTTTTTATTTTATTTTTTTCTATTTTGTTTTGGCGAGCATGCAATCGTTAGCCACAACAACAACAACAACAGCAACAGCAATCACTACATACAGCTAATGGCTCATTATTATATGGCGGGCGGTGTATTGGGTATATGGCGGCAGCGACGCCAACGCCAGCGTCAGCGGCCGTGTCAGTCGCGTCATCGCCGCTGGCCCAGCGGCAGCTGCTCGTCGCTGCTCTTTGGGCATATTCAGTTGTCGTTGCGGCTCCGGCTCCGTAGTTAGCTGCGTTTTGTTTTCGTTCGCTGCGCATGCCAACATATACATATACATATATATATATCTCAATCGGCGAGTCTGACTGGGCATCCCAACACGCATTCGCGCGCCATCTTAATACAGTTTCACAACAATTCGTTGACGGTTACGGTTGCGGATACGTGTTATTTCGGATTCCGATTCCGATTCCGATTCCGATTCTGAGTATCGTATAGCGTATACGCCATGTAGTACACGCGTACGTTCAACAAATGCTAAAGCACCAATTAACGTAGCTCGCAGCCCGCAGTTCGCCGCTCGCAGCCTCTACGCACATTCTTCAGCTGGCTGACCAGTGTGGAGCAGCGAGCAGTGGAATACCAAATGAATCTACTACAAAGCAAGTGCCAGTCGCAAAGCCTCCACGCGTCTTCCGCATAGTCTGTCCAATTATGAGCTGAAATCTATTTGATTTTTATTTTGTATTACGTACGGCACGGCAGACGCGACATAAAATAAAAAAAACTACTCTGTGCATGAAAATTAAATGTGGAAAATATAAAGAGAAATTAAAAATAGTTAAAAATAATAATTTAATGAAAGCGTGCGCAATTATGATTAAAGTGCAAGTGCGAGTCGCTTAGCCAGTCAAACTGAGCCTGAGAGATCTCAGAGAGAGTGAAAGATACAGAGTGAGAGTGAGGGTCTGAGCATCCCAAATCCGAAAATTCTCACCCGCCCATTTGCATATGTACTACTTGTTGTGTCTGTTTGTCTTGCGAAATAAATTAAAACATATTCGAAAAATAAATAAAACAGAGCGCACCGCGTTTGCTGCTGCTGCCGTGCGGCCTACCTTGAGACGATGTTGATTTGTTTTTATGTACTTTATACATCTACATATCTCCCTCTCTCGAACAAACACACACACACACACACACACACACACATTCTTGAACATATGTATATGTATGTGTAGACATAAGCATACACAATACACAAATAGGCTGTGAACATCTTTCCAAATTGCTTTTAGATCTTAGCCGCTGCTAACCCAATTCAATTCGGGCCATAAATAATTAGAGAATCCGCCAGCACAGCGTTTATAAATTCGTTCAATTCAATCTCTTATTGCAGGAATCGCCAATTGGGCCGCAGATAATCGTGATGGCAATTCGGCAGACAAGGTAAGTATTTCTCTCCACCTCCTCCCAAAAAAACATAAAAACAAAAACAAAAAATGCGCTTAAATATTTTTAAATATATAACAACCAAAATTAAAGACCAATCAGAAATGTTGAAACTGGGTCATGATTTCTGTCCGCATGTAATTGTCTGAGGCGTGCTATCCGATAAGAGCTCTGTGATAAGGGCTGACTAATGCAGCTCTAATCGATGTGCGGTTCCTGCTGACGCCAAAAGCACAGATTGCATATCTATAGATACAAGCGGGCCACGTGCAGAGTTGATAAGCCATAAAATAATACTTATACGATTTCCCAGCGTACTGATGCCAAAAAGGGGCTTAGTCAATTTTTGTTACATGCAACTATATATAATATGGAAATATTATATATATGTATATATCAATGTGTGCATATGTAAATACTAATATTTGTAATACTCGCTAAAGCTGACTGTATTTTTCCTGATATCTTCTGCGAACTCCAGTCACATTATTCCGGTTTCAATTTGCGGTTTCGACTGGAAATACGGGCGATTCGCCCGGGGCTGAAACAGAATTGCTTTATGTTTATAACGTTTCGTTGTTTGGTTTGGCATTCGAATGAATTTTAATATTTACAAATTATTTCATCTAAATTCTCTGTGTCTCGCTCTCTCTCTCTCTCTGTCTCCCTCTCCCTATTTAAATTTGGAATTTCGAAATATTTTAATAGCTTACTGCGGTAAAGTTGGACCAAATTAGTTTCAATTCGTTAAGCTAATTTACAGGGTATCTTAAAGTGAAGCTGTACAGATAGCTGCTGAATTTTACTTTTTGGCTTTATTTCTCTCATATTTTTCGTGTGTGAAAATTTAGTTTTAAGCGCTAATTAGATTAACATTTGCTTTATGAATTAGTTGGAAAATCCGTGTGTAGCAATGTTGTAGAGGAAGTTGGTCGTCAGGTGCGAGCACACACATCCTCGAGGCAAAGAAGTGATTGCGAATGTTTTTGAAATTTTTGAATGTATGCCGAAACTGTCGACAGGTGCAGACAAGTGGAGTCAAATGCGCTCTTGCTTGATTATATAACGCTCTAACTAAGTAACAAACCACCTGCCCACCCACTTAATCATCTCTTGTTTCCACAGTCTGCTGCAGATGCGGCCAAGCTCAATCGCAAGGAGTCGTACAAGGCCCAGCGCAAGAACTATCGGCGCGAGAAGAAGCGCGTGGCCAGTGAGTTGATGAACTCTCTGCAGGATCCGGCGGTCATAGTGCTGGCTGACTGGCTAAAGGTGAGTGTTAATTAGTTTAGCATACGCTCAGTGAATCTCTCGATACAATATCTCCTTTATTTTTCCTTCACAGGTGCGCGGCACACTAAAGTCCTGGACGAAGCTGTGGTGCGTGCTGAAGCCTGGCCTGTTGCTCATCTACAAGAGCCAAAAGACAAAAAGCAGCCACTGGGTGGGCACAGTTATGCTGACCTCGTGTCAGGTGATTGAGCGGCCCAGCAAGAAGGACGGCTTCTGTTTCAAGCTCTTTCATCCGTTGGATCAGCCCATTTGGGCGCCACGCGGACCCGATAAGGAGACCATAGGTAATTGTACTCTATACAGCTCGCCTGTGGCAACTGCTCATCTCCTGTTTTTTTTTGCAGGCGCTGTGGTTCAGCCACTGCCCACAGCCTACTTGATCTTTCGAGCGCCGAGCCAGGCCGCTGGCAAGTGCTGGATGGATGCACTGGAGCTGTCGTTGCGCTGCTCAGCTTTATTGCTGCGGTCCAACAGCACCAATACGCCGTCCAGCAACTACGCCGAAGAGCCGTTGCCCGTCTCGGACGAGACTCAGTGGTCGGAAGCCGACTATGAGAAGCATTTCAACGATCACGGTAAGTGGATGCAGCACTGGCTGGCGCCGCCGGCCGAGCAGGAGAACTCGCGCCCATCGTCGCGCGCTCAGACACCGCAGCTACTGCAGCAGCTGTACAGCAGCGCTGTTAGCAACTGGGAGCGCACCAAGCGCCTGCCACGTTTCGCCCAGATGCGACGCGCCAGCGATGTGTCTAATGCCTCTGAAATGAATCCTGGCCGACGCATAGGCAGGAATCTGTCGCCCATCAGCAAATCGCTGTCGATGGGCGCCGCACTCTGCGGAAGCAGTTCCAGTGACGACGAAGAGGACTACGCCAGCGGCAGTGTCTGTCCTAGGGGAGCTGGCTCGAGGCCAGTCAGTGCACCACCCGATTGCCTGCTGCTGCCGCGCTTCCAAGTCAACGTTCAGGGTGAAGGCCTCCAGCCAGATTCACTTTAATATATCTCTCTGTCGTAGTTGCTGTCATTGTTGTTGCTAGAAAGTTCGAGCAGTTGGTTGTGTTGTGATGCTTCCGACACAAAGTAGTCTGGGCGTTATTTGTTCAAAATTTATGTAATTGCAATGTGAAGCTAGTCGTTAGTTTCGCATCTTAGCCACTCATCTACCTATAAAATAGCCGATATATTTACATTAGTTAATGGAATAGGTCATCATTGGGGCCATTGCCATTGCAGTTGCTTCAGCTATAGAGAGTTCCTCTACACAGTGACGTACACGAGTTTGAGGGTTTCATCAACTCTTTACAGATCTGGACGCTGACAGTCAAAATGAAGCGCCCAATGCGGCAATGTCGGGACTGGAGAGCGACTCAGAGTCAGAACCGGCACATGAAGATGATGTGGCTGAACAAATACCATGCGAGGAGACTACCTATGTGCCATTTCAAGAGGAGGAGTTCGGTGAGGTAAGTGGTGCAATTCATTTCGTGGTGGATCAAATGGTTTCCATTAATATTTGATAACGGTCCTTAGCAAGGAGAGCAAGTGGAGGAGTTGGCCGAGGAAAATAAGAGCCTCATCTGGTGTATCGTGAAGCAGGTGCGACCCGGCATGGATCTAAGCAAGGTGGTGTTGCCCACGTTTATTCTGGAGCCGCGCTCGTTTCTTGACAAGCTGTCTGACTCCTATTATCATGCGGATTTGCTCTCTAGGTATGCGTTTTTCTTCACTGGATTTTTATTCGTTTCTTATAATTTCTCAATTGCTATTTGGCAGGGCTGTCCATGAAGATGACGCCTACACACGCATGAAATTCATCGTGCAATGGTACCTGTCCGGGTTCTACAAGAAGCCCAAAGGCCTCAAGAAGCCATATAATCCCATATTGGGCGAAACGTTTCGTTGCTACTGGCAACACCCCAACGGCAGTCGTACCTTTTACATTGCCGAACAGGTTTCGCATCATCCGCCGGTATCGGCATTTTATGTTACGAATCGCGAGGATGGCTTCAGTATCTCCTGCTCCATCTTGGCCAAATCGAAGTTCTATGGCAATAGCACGTCGGCCGTACTAGAGGGTATGGCCACGATGACGCTACTGCCACGTGGCGAAATTTATACAGCAACCACGCCCTATGCCCACTGCAAAGGTATACTCATGGGTACATTGTCCATGGAGCTCGGTGGCAAGATAAACATCGAATGCGAGAACACCGGTTACAAGACGGAGCTCGAATTCAAGCTGAAACCATTCCTTGGCGGCTCAGACACCATAAACGTAGTCGTAGGCAAAATTAAATTGGGTAAAGAAACTTTGGCTACTATTAACGGTCACTGGGACAAGGAGCTACGCCTCAAGGATCTAAAAACCGGAGAAGAAAGCGTACTATTGAAGGTCGATGCAGAAATGCGCTCGAAGCGGCTAATACGGCACGTGGTGCCATTGGAGAAACAGTTGCCAACAGAGTCGCAGCGTCTTTGGAGTCTTGTTTCAGATGCCATAGCACGGGAGGATCAAGTCGCTGCTACCGAGCAGAAAACAGTGCTGGAGGAAAACCAACGAGCGGCGGCCAAGTCGCGTTTACAGAACGACCAACCACATGTTCCGGCCCTCTTTGAACTGAACGCTTACGGCGAGTGGATATACAAGTACGCGGATTTGCGGCCATGGGACGTTCGTAACGATGTACGCCAATACGAATGTGATTATAAGGTGCTCACCGAGACGCGGAACAAAACGGTGCCGATCGTGCTTAGCACCGAACTAATGCGTTCCAATATAGACCCTGGCGCCCACTCCACTAGACGGCTTCCCTCAGACACCACAAATGTGTCCAAAACTAAAAACAAGCCCGTGGATTCGGACTCAAGTCCATCGCCGCAGGGTGCTGTGAAGCGTGGCTCAAATACCTCAGCCATTAGACAGTGAGTATCCGATCCATTGAAGCAATCATAAAGTATTTTATATTTTTATTCCAATATACTTCAGACTCGCCTTGGCCATTGACCAGATGAACGCAACGTTGGCCAACCATTCAAAGCAACTAAACGACATCACAAACCGGCTGGAACGAATCCAGTTTGCGCCGAACTTGAGGAATGGCAGTATCAATTCAAATGACTTAATTGGGGGCGGCGTCTCCATATCGACGGTGGTCAAGTCTATATTCTATGCTTTAATTGGGCTAACATTCAGCGTGATTCTGCGCTGGTTCTTTAAATAGTTATTTTGGTTAAATTTTCTATATATAAGTGCAACATTTGAGCTATGGTATATACAAATATAGTCTATTTATACACGTCCAATATTATTCTAAAGCTATATAGCCATGCCTCTTCTATTGTATATTCTGTCCCACTCAAAGAAACAGATTCACTGTTCAAATGAGCGTCGTGTAAAGTCAATCAAGAATTATGAATTAAGCTAATTGGTATGTTAGTCCCAATAAATGTCTATAATGTAATATTAACTACTGCGGCCACAGAAATGCTGAAAACTATTCAGCAGGCCCGATCAGGTACGTTTAGGCTTATTCGTTTTACAAAGGATACGTATATCTACAATGAAAACTATCACCAAAATTTCGTAACAATTCCATTTCACGGACACTACAATGCATTCAATTCCTGTTGTTTTCAAACACAAATGCATAGATATACTAGTACTCATAAAATATATATGCATATATATTCATATGAGATCATTTGGCAGAGCTGCTCGAGAGGCTTTCTCATGAACAAGAACAACGTGCAACACTCATAAACATTAAGAAAGTTTAATGCTAAAGTGATTATTATAAACTTAGTGTACTATATACACAAAATACATGTTCTTGCATAACATCCACACAAATTGTACTACCTGAAAACATATTTGGATCGAAATAAACATTTAACACATCTTTTCCTTTCACTTGGACGAACTGTTTCCAATGAAATGTCGCCCCTGAGGGTGAGTGAATGAAATCATGATTTAGGGGATATTAATACAGTCATCGAATGAAAGGGCACACGAAATTTAATTGAGGCCAATTAAGGGATGTTCCTTGATGATGATATTTGGGTAGCTCAATGTGAGAGTAAGATTTCTTGAGGTCATAGTTGGCAAAGTATGAGGCTGTAATTTTGTTTTGCATTTATTCGTTTTATTGTTGTTGCTTTTTGCTTACAATTACAAATAGTTTATATATACTATATATTTTCTACAACATTTACGGTCATTCTCATTTTCAATTTAGCTGTTTTACAATTTTATTTCACTTAATATAGGACCTCTTGTCTCTCCGTTTACTACGTTTTGTTCTATAAGCAATCCAGTTATTAGGGCGATTTTTTAACGCGATTGCGACTATACGATATTTTGATGTTTTTCATCGTTCCGGTTTAGTCATGTGAGTAAAAGATGCTGCTAAATATGCGCTAAGAGTACACTTATTTAAATAGAATTTTTTCGTTATGATTTCTTTTCCTTTTCTGATTACGCCTTATATTTAGCGGGATGGCGTATGGGATGGGTATTACACAGTATAGTAGCAATAACTAGATTTTTCATCATTATATATATATATATATTAGGTTCAGCTTAACACTTAACACGGCGAGAAGCTATAAATCAATGTTTCTCCTTCGGCACTGAAACTGAAAGGGTGTATGGAGCTCGGTGTGTGGGAGGGAGGGTAGGTGACAACAGTTATGAAGCTAATAAGTAGGATTAGATTAGAGTTTAATTTTGTTTAGGTTTAAACACCCTGTATTATGTGTGTGTATGTATGCATGGGTTCTTATTGGTTATGTGTCTATACACACACAGCTGTATATATATGTGTATATATGCATGTACAAATATGTGTGTACGAGTACGTCTAGACTTAACTTACAGTTGGACATGCATGTGGATCAGCTCTACTATAGTTTACATACAATTGCGCTCTGCACAGCAGGTAAATAACACTTTTCGAGTATATATTCAAATATATATATATAAGCATATATATGTATGTCTACATATATA